GCCCCGCTCTGCTCGTGCCTTGGCCCCCCCACGGGGGGGGGGGGGGGCAGGGCTGTTCCGAAGGGAAACTGAGGCTCGGCTCCCCAGAGGTATTTAGGCACCTGGTCCTCTGGTGGGAGTTAGGTGCCCTGGTCCCTACCACAAGCCTGGCTTAAAAATACCCAGCAAACGCTGCCTGCTGCCAGAGGTATTTAGGCACCTGGTCCTCTGGTGGGAGTTAGGTGCCCTGGTCCCTACCACAAGCCTGGCTTAAAAATACCCAGCAAACGCTGCCTGCTGCTGCTGGGGATGTGAAGCCAAGTGGGAAATGAGATGAGCCAGTTTGCTGGAGAGGAGTCTACACGCCCAGGGAGCTCACATCCCGCTCCTGGGACCTCGTCCTTTGCCTGTAGCACGGCTGGGTGAGGCAGCATCCCAGGCCTGTTACAATGTGGGAGCAGAAGGTAAATGAGTGAAAACAGGCCCTGAGGACGGGAAGGGGCGTTCTGCTTTGGGGAGCTGGCTGGAACCCGAGGGAAGGCAGGTGTCCGAGCTGAGCGTGTAGCTCCCATTGCAACTGAGCAGGAGCATCACGCCATGAAGTGGGACTCAAAGCACACGAAGGGCTGGGCTTTTCCCCGCTCACGGAGCTTTCCCTGATCTCTCACTTTTGCCCTGCTGAGGGATTTTCCACCCTGGTTTTCGAGCTGTGGGGACAGGAGGCCACATGCCTCGTTTGCCACTGGCACACGATGGCCTTCAATAGGCTGGTGTAATAAATCCTTAGTCCCAGACGAAGAATTTTTAGGCTCAGTGCAACAGTGACCAGGACCTCAGGGCCCCACGTTACGTGTGTTCGGTGAGGAGTCCAACACAGCGTCCAAATTTCAGCTCCTGCCGGAGGCTCACGGTTCTTTTGCTTGCATGGCATAAAGGGCGTCTACTTGCTCCTTTCCCCTCTTCACCTGTCAAAAGGCCAATGAGTGGCAGGCGGGAGGCGTTCCTGCGTAGGGAGCTCACTCAGCCGGCCTGCTGTTCTTGCTAGCGCTGGGGTGACCTAGTGTGACGGCGCGTTGGGGGCCCCCGTCTCCTGCACCCCGAAATGGCACAGACTGCACCAGCCGGTGGAATAGAGGAAGTTTATTGCCTCTCCAGGATACAGCACAGCACAGATGTAATCTGGTCACAGAGCTGGGCTAGGCTGCCTCAGGCCCCCTTGAGATGGGGGGAGACTGGGCCCCTAAACTCCAGCCCCTTTCCCTAGGCTGTCTCCTCCATGCTCCCAGACAGCAACTAACTAACTCTCTTCCAGCCCTGCCCCCCAGCCAGGGCAGCATCCACCTTCCTTTGTTCCTCTCCATGGGGGGTGTCTGGTTCAACAGGTTTGGCGTCACCTTTGCATAGTGAGGTTTTCCCTGCTGGGTCTTGCTCCAGACAGCAGGGGTCATCACAGCCCAGCAAGTACCCCCACTACGTCACACCTGGATGTCCACAGGAGTCTTCCCGGAGCCTACAGGCGGCGATGTTGTCCCCCGACAAGGTCGCTGTTTCTCTCACAAAATGCCTGGAAATGGCGTCGGCAACTTTTTCCTGCCAACTTGTCCATTTAAGACCGTTCCCACACCCCAGACCACGTTTCTTTTTGTCTTAAGATGGTTCTTGTCCATCTTTTCTGGGGTCACAAGTGGATATAAAGTACTTGGCGGCATTTTCACCCTCGTATTTTAGCCTTAACTAACTCAGTGCATGCAGCTCCTTCCTGGCCAAATTGCGCTTATTTTTGTCGCCTGTTTTACATGGCCCGCGTAAGGGATGACTCAGGGTGACCTTTTGTCCTCTTCTGTCCCTTTCACTCAGACAGGTTTTAAAATCTATCCCAGGCTCCAGGGGCTAAAACAACAGAGTCTAAAGCAGGGGTGGCAATAATATGGCGGCAATTTGCCAGAGCTAGCCCCCAGCGGGCTGCCACAGTTACATTCACCTGCGTGGACACAGGTACCAGAGACTGCAGTTCCCATGGCTGCAGATCGCCATTCCTGGCCAATAGGAGCAGCAGGAAGCAGTGTGGACCAGGATATCCTTTCCTGCAGCTCCCATTGGCTGGGAACAATGATCCACAGCCAATGGGAGCTGTGATGGCCGGTGTCTGTGTCTGTGCAGGTAAATATAGCCGTGGGGCCCACCAGGAGCTCACCCTGGCAGACTGGATTCAGCCCATAGGCCAGTATTTGCCCACCTCTGGTCTAAAGCAGTGAGCATTGGGCTCGTGTGAGACTGTGTGTATGGATCAAATCCAAGCCCAGTGCTCTGGGGCCACAATTTCAGTGCTCCCACAGCTGGTGTCTTTTCTGCTCCCAGACAGCTGGGCGGCTCTTGACTCCACATGCCCTACAGCCCTGGGGAACAAGGCTGGAAGATGGCAGGGGGGTGGCCACACTGGGCAAGTTCAGTGGCTTTTTTAGTCTCAGATGTCTGCCGCCGAAGACTTCCTGCTGCCCACGCTGAGGGTTTTCAAAGCTACTCGGCGGGTAGCTCCGTAACTCAGGTTACAGCGGCTGACAGTCCCACGCCAGAGTGTGTGTTGGATCGCTGCAACGTTCTAGTAGCCACTTCAAACTCCAGAATCTCAGATCTCCCCACCCCGGGCG